CAGCACCATTGTCCCAGGGAGAGAAAATACCCCATAACCATCATGCCTTTTCTAACAGCTTCTAACAAGAACTTAGTGACCATTCAAACAAAAGCGAGCCAGGCACATAGCCAGCACACATAAAGGCCAACTTGGCCTTGAAGAGTCAGCAGTGCCTTTGGAAAGACTTCTGGCCTGTGTGTCTTTTGTCTCATTGTGCTTGCTATTTCCTGGTCACTGTAGCCACATACCCCTGCTTCGCCGCCTGCTCCTTGAAGGGTCCGTGTAAAAGGTCAGCTGAGGATCATTGTCTGCTTCTGTGCCAGAATCCCCTTCAGGGTTCAGAAATGCAGAGCCAGCTACATTGAGAAACAGAAAGGAAATAGTTGCCAAAATGAGCTGTAAGCAAGTTCTTGCACCCACTTGCCATATCATATAGCTGTGCAATAAAGGTTCATACTACCGTATGTACAAAACGTGGTTACTTAAATTACATACTGTATTTTACTAGTCTTACGTACGAGCATACTTTCAAGTAACCTTTTGTCTGCCAACCTGCATGATACATACAATTCTGTGCTTTTGGTTCCCTCCATTCTTTTTTAAAAAGAACAGCTGCCACAGAAAGGCACATGAAGATGGGCTGCATAACTCTTCCTCCATGACATTTTTCAGCTCGGGAGCTAGGGGGTTTTCTTGCCACTGATTGAAAACATACAGGACTGCCATACATTTTCTATATCTTTTCCTATGTAGGTGCCAAAGTGCAAGGGAAAGGAATTTGGAGCTAAGAGATGGCAAAAAGGAAAAGGAAAACATTTAAGCAGTTATCTGTGTTTGCTTGTCCTCCACTCACACCTTGCCTATATCGCTTTGGGCTAAAATAAAAGATAGAGGTGATAAATTCACTCACTTTGACATGGAGATGGAACCTTGCACTCTGGTAAGAAAAGGCAAAATAAAAAGGGAAAGTTCAGTAATGCTATGAGCCAAACCCAATTTATTAAGAGAAGGCCAAGATGTGGATGTACTCTAGATATTACAACTGTATACACAGACCATAATGGGAACAAGATCTAATATGCTGACACAGTACCATCAATAATACTAATAACACTAACTAATACTAAACCTAAAGCTGGGCTCATCACTATATTTAGCAAAGTACATGCCGAGAAAGGGTCTCAGGGCTGTAATTAGGGTGGAGCAAGTGGGGCCTTGCTCCAGGGTACCAAAATTTAGAGGGCACTGAAATCTAAAGGTGAATTCACTGGTGACTGTTAGAAAAATAAATAGCAACACCTCCCAGCCCTATACATTTTTCCATTTTTAAAAGCATAACCTTTCTGCTTCTTTTGGGGTTACACCATGGTTTCTTCCTCCACTTTCATAGATGGCTTGTGACCCTGGCTCATGACAGAGAGGGTAGGAGATGGTGCTGTTTCCCTCAGGTGCCAGACTGACTGATCTACAGCTCCAGAAGTTCTGTATAGTGTAAGCAACCTAGTGTGCAAGTGTCAGTGGAAACATAACCACCACTATTTGAAAGGACAGTTAGTTTTGCTCCAACCAAAAGACATAGCAGTCCTCTTAGTATCCCCAAAGTGTACCTCTTGATGTAAAACTTGAACTTAAAATGTGCTGGTATCCTTCCAGCTAGTTTATACATATACAAGAAAATCTATAGCACAATCTATTCAAGAACTAATTTTTATGTATTTATAAAACAATTTCATGTCTTGGGTCAACACCTAATTCCAAGGAGGTCACTTCAGTTCTAAATGCTGTAGGTGTCTGGTGTCTGTAATAGACTGGATGAGGATGAATCAGCTCAGACTTAGACAAGACAGAGATGCTTCTGGTCACTTAAAAGGCTGATCAGGGACTAGGGTTTCAGCCATATGCTGGATGGGGTTACACTTCCCTGAAAACACAGGTTTGCATTTGGGTGTACTCCTGGATTCACCCCCGTGCCTGGATGACCATGTCTCAGCAGTGGCAAAGAGTGCATTTGCAAAGTTAAAACTAGTATCCTAACTGCACCTATTCCTGGAAATGAGTGAACTGGCTATGGAGAGATATTCCTTAGTTACATCCTGCTTGGATTACTGTAATGCACTCTACATGGGGCTTCCTTTGAAAGGTGTTTGGAAGATTCAGTAGGTCCAGAATGCCACCACTACATTATTAATCGGGGCTGGTTATAGGGATCACATAATGCCTCTGTTACAACAGCTTCAATAGGTGACAGTCCATTTTTGGCACAAGTCAAAGTACTGGTTTTGACTTATAAAGTCCCAAACAGCTTGGTTCCAAGCTATTTTAAATACCACGTTTCCCTTTATGAGCCTGCTTGGGTTTTAAAATAGAGTTGGTGGTATTTGTATATGAATACCCCCACACAGCTGGAGTTAAAGAGGGCGTCCACCGCTGCCGGCTGGCCCTGCTCTTCCTTCCCATCGCTTCAGAGCACCTGATCAGCTAGCCACTCCTGGCAGAAGGAGGGAAGTTGAGTCTCCCTGCCAGGCCAACAAGTGGCTTGCCAACTGGGCGCTCTGGAGCTATGGGAAGGAAGAGGAAGGGCCAGCCGGCAGTGGTGATGCCCTCTTTAACTCCAGCTGTGCTGGGGTGTTCATATTTGTATACAAATACCCCCATCTCTATTTCAAAATCATTAGAGCAGTGGTGTCAAACTGTGGCCCTCCAGATGTTCTTGGCCTTCAACTCCCAGAAATCCCGGCCAGCAGAGGTGGTGGTGAAGGCTTCTGGGAGTTGAAGTCCAAGAACATCTGGAGGGCCACAGTTCGACACCACTGCATTAGAGGATGCTTTCTCCTGGTCCTACCACTCTCACAAGTGTTTTTGATGGGGACATGGGAAAGGGTCTTCTCTGTTGCTGCCCCCAAGCTATGAAACTGCTTCCCATGGGAGGCCAGGCTGCCCTCCCCCATACTATTCCACAAGCAGACCAAAACCTTTCTCTTCAGGCAGGCTTTTTCTCAGTAACTGGGTTCCTAAAAACATGACATTTTAAAAAAAGTTTTATGTTAATATTGTAATCTACCATGGGTCCTCTTGAAGAGAAAGGCAGGATATAAATGTTCTAATGAACTAATAAATAATAACTGAACATAATTATTTTATAGATAGGAACATGAAACTGAAAGTGACATACTTGAAGCTACTAGGTCAGCCTTCAGTAGTTCTAAGTAGACATGGGGAATGAATAAAAAAAGAAATTGCAGTATTCATCAGAAATTGCTGATTTGTGTAATACTCATCACTTTGTATTTGTCAGTTGTGGAGGCCCTGACAAATATGAAGTGATGAATATTTACCCTTTTTATTCATCCATTCATTGGCTCTGGGCCCAAAGAGCAAGCTAGGGTTTTGGAACTGTTGAGATTTTGATATGAATATGTATTAAATGTAAATGTTGTACAGTTGAAAATAAAATGGCTGATTTTACCTGAGTCATTGTACTGATTGTATTCATGTGTAGTTACCAAGGTTTGAGACTTAATGTTGTACAGCTGTGGTACATGCTGAAACTTTGTGTAACTGAAAATGATGTAATGTGTTTTCTGACTGGTCTCAGAACTGTACGTAAAGTCAAGTGTAAAGGGGACATTTTATTTGCTGTAAGTCAGATCAGTTATTTCCTATACTATGTGTTGTATCATATCATGTTATGCTGCCAGATGAATGTCTATTCTCTATGTAAATAGACTAAGTTGATATTTTACTCTCTCTATGTCATAGTGTCTATGCATACTAATACCTCCTTACTCTGCTAATGTTCTGAGAATACACATTTAACCAAAATTCTCAACAGTAATGGCTGTTCCAGCAGCCTAGTTTGCTCACTGTTATTATTGGCCCACTAAACAGCTGTTCAGCAGGCCCACTCTCTCTGCCCACACAGCCCACCCCCGGCCCCTTCTCACTGCCCCCTGACACCTCCCTACCTTGTCTTGTCACAATTGCAACTGCCATCGCTGCTGGCAGAAAGGAAACTGCCATTTCGATGGGCTAGCCTGGCCTCTTTGCTTCTGACCATGGAAGCAGAGAGTCTGTCTGCAGACTTGTGCCTGGCTAACCTGCTCTCTCTGCCTAGTGGCCTGGCTACCATGGCCTCTCAACCTCTGATCAGCACCTTGCAGAGTCAGAGAGGCCAGGCTTTCCTGCTGGAACTGCAGCTTCAGTTCCAGTGCCCTTGCCACCAGCAGACCAAGGTAAGGAGGCAAAGGAAGGCAGTGGGAAGGGGGTGGGGGCACAGGCTGTCTTAAAAAAGATGAACTGATGAACCAATTCATGGTTCATTGGAAATTCCTGGGGAAATTTGCGGGTCATGGGTTTTGGCGGTAACAATTTGGGACTGTTACTACTTTAGAAAAGGAACCTTCTGCTATTTCATTCCCCCACAACTGGGCATTGTTATGGAATTACATGGGAATGATGGTGTCAAAAATACTATGCTACCAAACAGGCTTCAGTAACCTTGCTAAAGCTAAAAGGTTCTTGGTATGATGGATGGAAAAATTATGTATGGATGGGGAAAACTATGCCTGCATGGCAAAACTATGTTTGCTACCTTGACATAAAGAAGCAATGGTAGATGAGGGAGGGAGGGAGGAAGAAAGGAAGAAAGAAAGAAAGAAAGACCAATACAACACATTCAATACTTTCCGCACCAATCACAAAGGCAATCTTAACCAATTAGTGAACTTTTGAACCATCAAAGCAATTCCACAGACACTTTAGAACAGGCTTGTCCAACCTGCGGCCCGAGGGCCGCATGCGGCCCAGGTCAGCTCGTAATGCGGCCCAGTGCAATTTTTTTATTTTAAAAGAAATTCCAAAGTTTCAAGTTACACTGCCGGCGCTTGAGGCCGGAATGTGGCCGGGGCATGTCCGGGAGAGAGGGAAGGAAGGAAAGAGTGGGAGGGGAGGGGACGGGGGGCTGCGTGACTGCATTGCGCCATCCCCGTCAATAGGTGGACCCCCTCCCGGCCCCATAAAGCCGCTGGAGTCGAAGCTGGCAGCCTATGCTGTCTGAGATCGGAGCTGCCAGTAAGCGTGCTTGGAGCGGGGCTGCGGAGGACGGCTAGGACTGCCCCCCCATGCGGCCCAAACCAAATGTATGTGCGGCCCAAACCAAATTTTCATCTTCTAATGTGGCCCAGGGAAGGTGAAAGGTTGGACACCCCTGCTTTAGAATGATCCCAAGATAGTAGGGGAAAAACCAGGGAAAAGGGAAGCCTATTTTGAAAATCTTTAGCCAGTAGCCATGCTGGCTGAGGAATTATTTGAGTTGTTGTACTTTAAAAAGGAACTTTTCCAAGCCTTTGATTTGAGCACTGGTGAAAAAGTTGCAACACTTTAAAAATAATAAAAAAGCAGAACACATGAACAGCTGAAATCTGAAGAAAACTAAACAGGGACAGCTGCAAGGTATGGCTGTAAGGTGTGAAGGCATGATCAGGAGAAACAAACGTATAAGGAAATATCCCCAAGTGACATGAACATACATTCATTCATTCATAGGCATCCTTCAGTCTCGAGAGACTATGATAACATGCAGATTAGCACACACCAACATGGTCCTTAAACCTAAACCAACACAGTCCTTTTGCGTTTCTCAACAGCTCCCAGCTAGTCCTGGGAATCCTAGGTCTATCAGAACACTTCTCAGAGGCCCATGTCTGAGACTGGCACTCTCATCCCCACAATGCCTCATCAAAAATCTCTGGACAGTACCTCGTGACTTGTTATTGATCCGCTTGCGCTGGCTGCTGGAGGTATGAGACAGCAGTGTAGCCTGCTGATGGTTGGAATCCACAGGACTAGTGGCGATGATGTTATCCTTGTATTTGTTCATCAAGGACAGCTTGGCATTGTCACTTCCTGAACAGGAAGAATTTAAGGCAAAAACTTTAAGAAAAGGAGACAAAAAATGGGAGAAAGGGAAAGAGAAAGAGAAGGGGGAAAAGAGAGAATATTCATTTCCAGCTACATTAGGGTCATCTCTAGAAGTTAATGCAGTTGGCAATAGGGGGTGAGAGCCCAGTGCTGTAATTCACCATTAACACTACCAGAGCAGATTCCCTTTTCTACCCCTCCCCTAGAAACAGACATTCCCCCTAGTAACAGCAGTAAAATCAAAAGGATCGTCTGATCTTAAAATAAGAGTCACTCTAAACATAGTCCCTGTGGAGAATGCAATAGAAAAATTGAACAAGCTATGGAATGCTAAGACACTGCAATTGAGATTTATCTTGGCTTTCTCATTGCTCTAGATGTTACTACTGTATGATTGATTCTAAAAGATAGGAAGAATCATAAAATCACAGAATTATGAAGTTGGAAGGGGCCTATAAGGCCATCAAGTCCAATGCCTGGCTTAGTGCAGGAATCCAAATTAAAGCTAATCTGACATATGGTTGTTCAATTTTCTCTTTGGTACTCCAAATTTCGGTGACCATTCCCTGCTATTGTTCTGGACACCAACATCAAGCCAAGAAAAGAAAAAAAAGAGGACAAGATATGTGTGACATACATGAAAAGTTGGCCCCATATGATGGGTTGACAGTAAAAGTGAATTGTAGGTATAGAAGCACTGAAGAATAATGACCTAAATGCAATACCAATGCCTCAAACAAATCACACATAACTCTACAAGTACACACAAACTGAGACTATGCCCCACCTGGCGTAAGATCCATGCCCGACTTTTCATTGCAGCCCTGTAGTGAGTCCAGAGTTCTGGTAACCTGGCTGGCAAAGTCTTCGCCGCCATTCATGCATTCTCTTTGCAGGTGGTGACGCAAGTCAGTAATGTCATACTCATAGCCATCTAGGATAGGGGTCTCTCGGATGCTCAGAGTCCCACTTGAGTTGTGACCCTGTACCCGGGCATTTCGGAGGCTCTCACGGCCATGGCCTCCAATCAGCACCGAGGGGATATAGTGAATTTCATTGGCTGCCTCTGCACTGGCACTCTTCTGGGGTTGGGGCACTCGTCGTCGCTTGCACCAACGTCGGCGTGTGTAGAGGATCATAACCAGGCATAAGATGGAAAGCAGCAAGGCAATCATACCTCCCTATGGAAATAAAAATGGCACAGATTTCATATAGCTTCAAGAAAAGGCACTGAATAATTCCAGTGCAGGTGAGAAGTTATGTATTCAATTCAGTTACACTTCCAGGATATAGGACTCAAGAGAGTTTGGCTCCTAGGCAACTTCGCCTCAGGCAAAGCAAGATTCCACTACTCAAGGCTTCAGAAGAAAGCATGGACACACCTGATTCTGAAACATAAAAAGTCATAAGGAATTCAACAAAGCTTTGCACAATTTGTAGATAAAATTTCAGTAATGACCATAGCATGGCTTAATTTAGCAGTTATCACCACAAGACTAGAGTTAGTGTGCTCAGCACCACTGCAATAAATGGGAACCATAGTCATCAGCTATTCCCACTGACTCCCAAGAGCTCTGTGAAGAAAAGTCTCCTGCTGGATTGTGCCTTCAATGCTAATTAGATGACCAAGAGTAGATTTTCAGATGTGCCCCCCTGGGCATCAGGAATATATAAAGGACTGCTTGATGCTTGAGCTGCCAAATTAATTAGTCTGATATTTGGAATCAGTTCCTATAATGGCCATGCTGTTGGAGCCAGGCCCTTATGAATCCAGTACTTCACAATACAATTGAGAATAGCTCTTACAACTTTAAACTTCCACTTAATATATTCTCAAGCCCCTTAAATATAACTACATTATTTTTATACCCATCAGTCCAAGGTCCAAGTAGAAAACAAGCATTTCATCCCAATTCTGTGGAATGAAGGATTCCATTGAAGCTCAAGACACAGGTTAAGAGCACAAAAGTATATCAAGTTTCTTCTAGCTCTACAAATATGCTGAGGGGTGGGGGCAGGTGGCAGGTAGCAGGAAGCCAAAGCTAAGAGAAAAATACTAGCCAAGATTGACAGATGAAGAAGACATAGTCCCTAATTTCATGGGCAAAAACAGTGACCAAGAAAGGATCAAAACAAAGCAGGAAGAACGTGCTGATTGGAGGTAGCATTTATGGCCAACAGGATCCAGGCAGTTGTATCAGACCCTATGAAACCCACATGGAAAAGAGGTTCCAATTAGATAAATTGTATGATCCTCTAAAATAGAGAGGTTACTTATCTGTAACCATGGTTCTTCCAGTGGTCCTCTGTGAATCCACACAAATGGATTTACTGCCCCTGCATGGGACTTCTCAGACTATTCTAGAGCTTAAAAGACATAATTAGTAGGACGTTGCCCCGTGGTGTGCATGCTCCATCTGCCCGTTACCTCAGTTACGAATGTCCGCCGCTGTCAAAGCTCTGAATTCCACAAAGCTCAAGTCAACATGTGATGGGCAGCAGGGAGGCTGGGTGGTATGTGTGGATTCACAGAGGGCCACTTGAAAACCATGGTTACAGGTAAGTAACCTCTTTTTCTTCTTTATGGCCTCTGTGAATCCACACAAATGGGTGACTAGCAAGCTCACTTACTGGAAGAAGGGCCATCACACCAACAACGAAGTCAGCACAGCTCTTCCGAAACTTGCTTTCTTCTTGGCCCTGACATCAAGACGATAGTGTGACACAAAAGTCGAGGGTGTAGACCAAGTGGCTGCTTGACAGATGTCAGGGACTTCAATGCCATGCAACAACGCTGTAGACGTTGCCATCGCTCTAGTAGAGTGTGCCTTTAGCACCTCTGGTGGAGTCTTGCCTGCCAATTCATAAGCCAGCGTAATGGCCGAGACAATCCACCTCAAGAGAGTCTGTGAGGAGGCAGGAGAACCCTTTTGTGGGCCATGGAAGCAGACAAAATGTCTTGGAGACAAACAAAAGTTTTGGTTCTTGAAACATAAAATGCCAGGGCACAACGAACATCAAGAGAGTGGAGCATGCACTCAACGTCAGAAGATGGATTGGGGAGAATTAGAGGCTGATTAACGTGGAAATCAGAGATCGCTTTTGGAAGGAAAGACACATCTGGGTATAACACAACCTTGTCAGAAAAAAATGAATATAAGGGGAATCAGCTCGAAGAGCAGCCAGGTTGCTTCCTCGATGTGCAGAGGTTATCACCACAAGGAACAATGTTTTGACAGAAAGCAGTTTGAAATTTGCAGAAGCCATAGGCTCAAAAGGAGGGTGAGTCAGTGCACAGAGAACGACCTGAAGAGACCACTGAGGAAGTGGAGGTCGAACAAGTGGAGGCATATTTCGCAGTCCTCTTAGAAATTTCTTCAATGTGGGATAAGAGAACAAACGGGAAGCTTCAGAACCTTCAGGCTGGTAAGAAACTATTGCAGAAATATAAACTTTTATTTATTTATTTATTTATTTATTTGATTTATATCCTGCCCATCTGGTATATGTATACCACTCTGAGTGGAATGGGCTAAACCTTGGCCAAACAGGTAACAAAGGAACTTAAGGAGGATATCCAAGGAAACTGGAACCGTGGGTAGATTATGTGTTTTAGCAAATTTGATAAATGAGTTCCATTTGCAGGAATACAATAATTGAGTGGATGGTTGCCTCGCTTTATTCAGGACTTCAGCCACTTTGGGAGAATTCTCCACTGTGAGGTGCAGAGAGGTGAGGTCAGGATGGCAAATCCAACCTTCCTCCTGAGTGAGTAGGGAAGGTTGAAGTGGTAACCTGAGAAATTTGGAGGTCATGGTCCTGAGAGTGGTGAACCATAGTTGACGAGGCTACCACAGTGCTATTAATATGGCATCTCGATCCAGCTGACGGATCCTGATTAGCATCCTCTGGATGAGTGGAAAGGGTGGAAACAGGCAAAGTAGAGTGTCATCCCAATCCACCATGAAGGTGTCGCTTAGGGAGTCTTCTCCTCTTCCCGCTCTGGAGCAGTATCTGCTGCACTTGATGTTGCTTTGGGTGACGAAGACATCTAGGCCTGGCGTCCCCCACCGACTGCAGAGAAGAGCAAAGACGCTGCCGTTGAGTCTGGCCCACTCACGAGTCTGACAGCTCAGATGGTCGGCAACCTCGTTGTCTTCTGTAGTGACATGAAGAGCCACTGGGAAGATGTGGTGATCATAACACCATTCCCACGGCTGGATCACTAGATAAAGAAGATGTAAGGAGTGGGTACCACCTTGTTTGTTGATATAATACAGGGTGGTCATATTGTCCATGATGACTTGGACCCCGTGGCCAGCTATCACGAATTTGAAAGTTCAAAACGATTTGATGACTGCTAACAGCTCTAGTTGATTGATGTGTAGCAGTTTTTCTGAGGTTAACCACAACCCGTAGATCTTTTGATGACCGCAGTGTGCCCCCCATCCCGTCGGGCTGGCATCTGTTGTGACTTGTCCGGTAAGTTGGAGAGGCCTGAATGGGTGGCCTACCAGGAGGTGAGGGATAAAAGTCCACCAGATTAGTTGATGAGCCAACTCTGGGGTCACTGGAAGATGCTTGATGGTCTACCAGAGGGTTGAACTGGGACAGGTACCATGCCTGTAAAAAGAGTTGCAGGCTATTTTGGATGAAACCAATGCCCTGGACCCATTTCAGTCGAGCTTCAGGCCACGCCACGAGACGGAAACAGCACTGGTCGCACTGTTGGATGACTTATTGAGGGAGGCTGACAGGGGCAATATGTCCTTGCTGGTCCTCCTCGACATTTCAGCAGCCTTTGATACCGTCAACCACGGTATTCTCCTGGGGAGGCTCTCAGAGTTGGGAATCGATGGACAGGCATTTGCCTGGCTCTGATCCTTCTTGGAGGACCGTCCTCAGAGAGTCCAGCTTGGAGAGAGTGATTCGGCCCCATGGAGCCTCAACTGTGGGGTTCCACAGGGTTCAATCATCTCTCCAATGCTGTTTAACATCTATATGAGGCCGCTGGAGGGGTCATCAAGGGGTGTGGGGCTTTGTGTCATCAGTACGCTGATGACGCCCAGCTCTACATCTTTTTCACCTTCCTCAGTGGATGCCGTCCCATCCCTTGAGCGCTGCCTGGAGGCTGGACTGCGGTGGATGCAGGAGAATGGGCTGAAGCTGAACCCGGGCAAGATGGAGGTCCTGAGGGTGGGTGGCCCCTCCATCTGTGGCTTGGGAAACTCCCTCTCTTTTGGGGGCGTGACTCTCACCATGAAGAGTGAGGTTCGCAGCTTGGGAATACATCTGGACCCGGCGCTCACCATGGAGACCCAGGTGGCATCAGTGGTCCGCTCCGCCTATTTCCATCTGCGGAAGATTGCCCAGCTGCATCCCTATCTTGATGTTGGGGCGCTCACCGCTCTGGTCCATGTGCTCGTAATCTCAAGATTAGACCACTGCAATGCACTCTACGTGGGGCTACCTTTGGGGTTGTTGTGGAAACTTCAAATGGTGCAAAATGTGGTGGCCAGACTTCTCACTGGGACGAGAAAATACCAGCACATCTCTCCCATCCTGGCCGCCTTGCATTGGCTTCCCATTCATTTCCGCATCCACTTCAAAGTGTTAATGATGACTTATAAAGCCCTAAACGGTTGAGGACCTGGATACATGGCGGAGCGCCTTTTCCCACCTAGATCTACCCGAATCTCTCATTTTAGCCAGGAAAGATTGCTGAGGGGCCTAACGCCAAGAGAGGCCCGGAAAGAAAGAACAAGAAACCAGGCCTTCTCGGCAGTGGCCCCTCGACTATGGAACACCGTGCCGCTGGAAATCACCCTGGCACCCTCGCTGGGTGTTTTTAAGAGTCATTTAAAGAGCTGGCTCTTCAGGCAGGCCTTCCCTCCAGTCAATACCTGATTTTATTTTTTTCTTTAGCTTTCTCTCATCTTGATCTTCTAATTTGCAGTTTAATTATGTGATTGATTTATATATACTTGATGATTTTATTTGATTATATTTTATGTTTTATTCTTCTTTGTAAGGCACCCCAAGTAGACTCTGTCTAGAGGGGCGGGGTAGAAATCTAATAATAAATAAAATAAATAAATAAAGTTATAATCTTTAGTTTTGCATGCTGAATGATCAATGTAGTTGATGGCATGTGACCTAATAGGTGCTGTGCATGGTGAGC